GGGGTGACGGGTCTATTGGTGAATAGAATCCCTGATGCGCATAAGTAAGACTATTTATTTATTTTATTTATTTTTATTTATTTTTATTTTTTATTTATTTTTATTTATTATATTGTGCGGATAAATAAAGTTTTATTTTTATTTCTTTTTTATTTATCCTCTAAACAGCTCGGGTGTATACGCAGCTCATGAAAGAGCGGTTTCCTTATTATCTAGGGTTTAGGGTTTAGGGTTTAGGGTTTAGGGTTTGTGTTCTGTTCCTGTTGCTGCAGCGGCATGCCCGTCACATCTTTAATGTTGTCTAGATCGGGCAGGTAAGAAGACTTATAATTGAGGTGTATGTACACCTCAATTTATTATTGCATTAGGGTTTAGGGTTTAGGGTTTAGGGTTTAGGGTGTATATATACCGTATAAAGATGCTGCTGATTGCATTTCTTCTCTTTTTACCTTTTTTTCCTTAATTAGTAATTAATTATAATAAATAAAGGAATAAATAAATAATAATAAATAATAATAATTAATATTAATAATAAAAAAAACTTTCTTCTTGTTTATTGTTATAATAAAGGTATCTTCTTTCTTCGGGGTTTGATGGCAACTCGCGTCTATGGGACTTAAGGAAGGGACAGCAGGTACAGCAGCAGCAGCAGCAGCAGCAGCAGCAGCAGCAGCAGCAAGAGCAGCAGCAGGAGCAGGAAGAGCAGCAGCAGGAGCAGTAGGAGCAGCAGGAGCATGTTTAATACATCAATCTGTAGCATTTTTAATCTATTTTTATTTAGGGTTTATAAATTAGGGTTTAGGGTTTAGGGTTTAGGGTTTTATTTTTTTTTGCTGCTGCAGTTGCTAGTTATTCGTACGGGGAACAGCAGAAGAGACAGAAGAGCAGCAGCAGTCTTCTTACAACAGGAAGCATTTATTGCCTCAATAGCGGGTAACGGTAAGAAAATATATTTATTTATTTATTTATTTATTTATTTATTTATTTATTTTATTTGTTTAGTTATTTCCTTTTATTTTTATTTTTATTTTATTATTTATTTCTTCCTTTTTTTCTTGCGCTAATTCGCTCTTTTCCCTCCCTCCAGTGCCTGTGTATCTAGGGTTTAGGGTTTAGGGTTTAGGGTTTAGGGTTTGTGTACAGAGCAAGGGTCTCCTCTAAAGATATTTGATTCATATAGCGGATCTTCTGTCTCCTTTAATGTCCCTCCTTATCAAGCGAATAGAGTCTCTAGGTTGGTCGAGGGTTTAGGGTTTAGGGTTTAGGGTTTAGGGTTTAGGGTTTTTTTATGGTTCTGCTGCTGTTGCTGCCATTAGTGGTGCTGTTTCTGTTGCCGCTCGTGCTGCTGATGTTGCTACTCCTGCTACTGCTGCTGCTGCTATTGCTCCTGCTGCTGCTGCTGCTGCTGCTGCTGCTGCTTGTTGTGCTGCAGCAACATATGTGCTATTCGTTCTTCTCCTTCTGCCTTTGCATGCGCTGTTGGTACAGCTGATGGACAGTAAGGCATATTTATTTATTTATTTATTTATTTATTTATTTATTTATTTATTTATTTTCTTATTTATTAGTTTATAATGTATTTATTTATATTTATATTTATCTATTTATATTTATATTTATATTTATTATTTTTCTTTTTATATATCTACTTTTTTCTTTTTTATTACTCTCCTTTTTTTTTCTTCTTTTCCTTTTTTCTTCTTTCTTTCTCTTATTCCTTCTTTTTTAATTCTTTTATTATCTTTATAAATGCCTTTTAGGGTTTAGGGTTTAGGGTTTAGGGTTTAGGGTTTAGGGTTTAGGGTTTAGGGTTGTTTTTTGTATTCAGGTGCCAAATTTTGAATTTTTCTCTCCCTTCCTCTTCATAGACACTTTTCTTTTTTTTTCTTTTTTCTTCTTCTTTTTTCTTCTTTTTTCTTCTTTTTCTTCTTTTTCTTCTTTTTCTTCTTTTTCTTCTTTTTCTTTTAATTCTTTTAATTTTATTTAATGAGGTGTATCGACACGGCAGCGCAAGACAGGCGATAAACCCTAGGACTAGGGTTTAGGGTTTAGGGTTTAGGGTTTAGGGTTTAGGGTTTAGGGTTTAAGGTTGGGTTAGGCACTGCATGCAGAGGAGATTCAAGCGAGCTCATTCATGCAATAAGGGTTTAGGGTTAAGGGTTAAGGGTTTAAGGTTTAGGTTTAAGGGTTTAGGGTTTATGGGTAAGGGTTTAGGGTTTAGGGTTTAAGGGCACGGGCTCCTTAGGCGTATATAGAGATGACAGTTGTTTGCATATATTAGATGCATTATTTGTATATAGGTAGCATAAACCCTAAACCCTAATTCATACATAAACCCTAAACCCTAATTCCCACATAAACCCTAAACCCTAATTCACGCACAAACCCTAAACCCTAATTTAGATACAAATAGAAAATTTGATTCCTGTGGTTGTTTATGCTGACACTGTGTCTTAGCCACAGTGCCGAGCTAAACAGCTAGCTAGCTAGCTAGCTAGCC